GTCTTGTAAGTTTGGTTTGGTTTTTACATAGTCTCTTAATTTCTGTTTATCTGGAAATGTCCTAATTTCACCATCATATTTGATGAGAATGTTGCAGGATATATTATTCTTGGCTGGCAATTTTTTTTCTTTCAAAGTTTTAAATATGTCTTCCCATTGCCTTCTTGCCTGCATGGTTTCTGCCAAATAATCCGAGCTTAGTCTTATTGTTTCTCCTCTGTATGTGACTGTTTGTTTTTCTCGAGCTTCTCTCAGGATTCTTTGTTTGTCTTTGATTTTAGCAAGCGTGATTATGATATGCCTTGGTAATTTTCTTTTGGGGTCTATCCTATATGGGGTTCATTGAGCTTCTTGGATGTTCAGCTTTTCATCTTTCATGATATTGGGGAAGTTTTCTGTCAGCAATTCTTCAATGATCCTCTCTGTGTTTTCTGTTTTCTTCTTCTGTTCTGGAACTCTGATCACTTGCAAATTTTTGCTTTTGATTATATCCCACATAATTCTCAGGGTTTCGTCATTTTTCTTTGTTCTTTTTTTCTGATTTTCCTCAAACAGAGTTGTATCCAAGTGTTTGTCCTCAATTTCGCTGATCCTGTCTTCCATCATTTCAAACCTGCTCCTCAGCTCTTCTATGACACTGTCCATTTCCGAAACTTGTTGTTTATCTTTTGGATTTCTAATTGCTCTTTTGTATGATTTCTAGTTGTGAATTTAGCATTTTGTTCCTGTATTATTTTCCTGAATTCTTCCATTTTTTTCTGTATTTTCCATGAATTTGTCTGCCTTTTCCATGAATTTGTCTATTTTTCCTCATTTTTGTCTGCTTTTTGCTTCAAATCTTGGATAGCTCTGAATATTAGAGATTTGAATTCCCTATCAGTTAGGTCTAGTGCCTTTTTTTCTACTGGAAAGTCATCTGGTGTTTTATTTTGGACATCTCCTGGAACCATCCTGTCCTGTTTTTGTATATGTTTTGATACTGTCTACTGTCTTTGGGACATTCAGTAGTTATTTTCCTAGTTTATTGATTGTAGATTTGTTTGTTTCATCCTGCTTTTTTTGTTTTATTTGGTTATGTCTTAACAGGTGGACTGTGTGTTCACACGAAACTTTTCACCTCCTTCTCCAATGGGCAGGGTCAGTCACTCAGGTACGATACAGCAGGGCAGGTCCAGCTGAAGGGGAGTTGCGGGGATGGGTTGTTTGTGGCATGTACTAGGGCTGACAGGGTGGACTGGGAATCAGTGCAGGGAAGGTTGTGGTAGGCCGTGTCTGTGCTCTTTGGAGGTGTGATGTTCAGAGCATGGTGCAGGTATGCAGGAAGGAAGGGGGAGTCGGTGTTTTGTGGAGCTAAGATGGGTATGGGAAAGAAGAGAGAGGAACAGGAGCCCAAAACATACAAATGAACAAACAAACAGACAGAAAAGAGTGCTAAGAGAGCTTGCCATTGGAATGGAAAGATGAGAGACCGAGAAATAGAGAAAAAGAAAAAGAAAAAAAAGAAAAAGGGTAAAAGAAAAAAATGAACAAATAAAAATTAGAAAAAAAGGAAAAGCCCCCAGGGATCCCACTGGTATGACTGCAAGGACTGGGGAAGTTGCTCCCAGGCCGTGAAGTACAGCCTGGCTAGAAGGGGTAGAGGTGTCACATAGTGCCAGGTATTTAGGAGACAGGAAGAGAAGGTATGTATAGGGAGATGAGAAATTGAGAAATGAAGAAAGACAAAAAGGAAAAAAGAGAGAGAAGGCAACAAAACAACAACAACAATAAACAAACAAAACATGAAAAAAGAAATGCCCCCATGGATTCCACTGGGTGTCTGCGCAGAGTAAGGGAGTAGCTCCCAAGCCGCGCAGTACTGCCCAGCTAGAAGGGGCTCCCAATCTGAGAAAAGAAAAAGAAAACAAACAAATCAAAACAGAACAAATCAGAACAACAACCACAAAAAAGCCCGGGGAATCCCACCAATGTGGTGGCACAGGCCAGGAAGTAGTTTCACAGTCAAGTGGTGTTTCACAGCTTTTCAGGAAGAAGCAAAGATGGCGCACGAAGCCAGGTATTTGAGAGAAAGGAGGGGGAGGTGGTGAGAGGTAAGGAAGAAATCTAAAGAAGCTGAAAAAAGCAACACCAGCAGCCACCAAATGGCACTCAGGGAGCCGGCCAGTGTGGACAGGTGGAATCCAAGCTGCACCGTTGTGTAGCCAGTGTTTCTCGGCTAAGAGACAGTGGCCGCAGGAAGCAGAGGAGGCTAAGTGGGTGTGAATAAGCGTGGGGGTGGGAAATCGTATATCGCCGATTACCGGTTGCTCTGTCTTCTGCTGGAAGCTCTGTGAAGCTGTTTTCTCGTACCCCCTGTTTGCCAATCTCTAGTAGGAATCCAAGATGGTGGATCTGTGCTGCATTAACTGATAGGGGACCTCTGCATGTATCTCTCCTTGCTCTCTGTTCTCTGTCAGTTTCTTATTCCATTCAGTGCTTGGCTGAGTTCCTTATCTTTTCATTTGATGCTTAGTGTAGCAGTTTTTGGGCGGCGAAATGAACAAAAAAGACAGACACACACAAAGACAAACAAGACTGCAGCCCTGAGGACTTGCAGTAGTTTATTTTTAAGGTCTCCGCCTGGGCATTATTCCAAATATCTGGTAAGTTGTTTTTCTCCTTCAAAGCACATCAAGACTTTTGTAAATATCCGAACTTATCTTTTAAGGCTCACAGATCAGCAAGTTCTCAGAGACTCGGTGCTCCCTCCCGTTTGCAGGTGGGAACGGCACGTCTGCGTGCAGGACGTGCAGTCCGAATCCCGGAGACCTTGAAATCAGCTCGGGAGTGTCCGCGTGCAGATCATTCCCAGGCTGATTATTTCCCACACTTAGGGTTTCAGGATTGATGTTTGTCTCTGTTTGACTTAGTTTTTCGGATCTTTGCTGTGGAGGGACGGCATGGTGGTTCTGTCTATAGTGCCATGTTGCCCAGAAGTCCCTCATTTAATTCCTAAAAAATATTCTAATTTTCTGATGAAGTTCTCCAACTTTTCTCTGTTCTGATAACTGCAATACTGGCTGCACCTGGGAATCTGCTCCAATTGTCTCTACTTGTTTTTTTTTAACCCCTTTGTCTTTTTTTTTTTTTCTTTCTTATTTGAAGTCCTTTAAAACTATTTTTTGGCATGCTGAGTAATTTTTGCTTGAATTCCTGATATCATGTATGAAAAATGGTAGAGGCTCTTGTTGGTGTTATCGTCCTTCAGGGAGTATTTAGTGTCCCTTAGGTAGACTGACAAAGTACTGGCAGATCACCTTAAGCCAGCAGAGGAAAATTTAAGCTTTGTTAGGACTGTTCTTTTCTGGGTCACCCTTTCGCTTAGGGCATAGCCTTTTTTAGACCTCAACTGGCAACCTGGCCAGTTTTCAAATGCCTTCTACCTTGGTTGGTCCCAAGTTCCTCTCTCTGCCTCCCCAATGTGAGATACTATTGAATTTTTGTTCAGCACTTTACTTCCCAACTGTTGTCTTCTGCTTGGTTTCTGAGAGTATTATCTTGCATGTACTTAATCAGGCCCTGGTAAAAGTCTCCAGAGGGTTTTAAGCTCACTTCCCTGTGGGTCCCTCCTCCCCATCAAGACCTTGTCCTCTTGGTACCTGCAGCTATAATTTCTGCCTTCCAAGGCTAGTGGGAGTACCACAAGCCCCTGGATGACAATTTCATCTTGTTCTCTATTTCTGGTACCCAGAATTAACAAATTAACAAATTCCCTGAGGGAAAGGGAAAAGGGACTGAGGGGCTTAACTCAGTACGTTTCTTTTCTCTCTCATATTTTGGCCCTTCAAGTCCTGCCTGCCTTGGTTGTTCTCTGATACCTTCTGGCAGATGGTATTGTTAGGTGCCCCAGAGTCAGTTCTGACTCATAGCAACCCTATGCATGACAGAACGAGATGCTTCATATATTTTATGCATTAGGGTTGACAGCCCTCCCCACTTGAGAGAGTTTAGGGCACACTGTCCCTGTTGTCCTTGTTGAACTGAGTCCTGGTGGCATCACTTAGAAAATAAAGCTGGGTAATGATTTCTGCTTTGAGGATCTCAGTACTGAGTGGGCCAGATCCTGCACGTGTGGCTGCGCAGGAGGGGCAGAAGCACTCAGGGCTGGGAAAGAGCAGTTTTAGGAGGGGAAAAGGTAATATTCCCACATCTACTTTGTAGAAGTTGTTCATTTAACATTCCTTACCAACCCTCCTTACCGAGGGCTCTAGTACCATTCCCTTTCTTCTCCCCTTTATTTGTCTCTGTAGTCAGACACCCCCTTTGTGACCCTCTCCACCTTCCTGCCCCAGGATCTATAGTATACGGAGGACACTTATTCCTTTAAACTCTTTTGCCTTCTCTTTCTAATCCCAGAGAGAGTGATAGTGACTTAGTTTTCACAGCAGTGAAATTCTGTGTGCTAAACGGGATAAAGAAATCCAGGCTCAGAGGGGCAGAACAATCTGCCCAAGGTCACACAGCTAGTTGGCAGCAGAACTGGGTTTTGAATCCAGTAAAAACCTATGTATGGTCATGGAGACCAGAGTTCAGGATTTGAGCAGGAAACAAAAGTAAGTACACACAGTTCTGAACCAAGGGGGCTCCAGTGTGTGTCTGTGTGCATGTGTGTGCACACGAGTGTGTGCACGTGTGTGTGTGCATGTGCATGCTTATAGATGTGGAGCAGGGAGGAGAGGATGGACTGAGAGAGAGTGGCTGGGAAGAGGTAACCTAATTGAATGCATAAGTGGCTGGGAAGGCGGTCCTTGGGAAATCCAATGATATTAGAACTGGAATCAGCAAAGCAGAGTCCACAAGTTGGAGCCAGAGTCAACAGTGCTTAGGAAAGGATTTGAACAGGAAGAAACGTGAGGACTCCATGCCAGAGAGCCTGGAGGCCAGCCTGCTAGCACAGCCTTCGTGATTTCTGACGCCAGGACTCTTCTCTGATTCCAGCCTCTCTGTGTCCCCTGAAAGACATGTGGCTCTACCTGGTGGGCCTCGTGAGCCTGTACTACCTTCTGCGCTGGTACCGGGAGAGGCAGGTGGTGAGCCACCTCCGAGACAAGTACGTCTTTATCACGGGCTGTGACTCGGGCTTCGGGAATCTGCTGGCCAGGCAGCTGGACCTGCGAGGCTTGAGAGTGCTGGCTGCTTGTCTGACGGAGCAGGGGGCCGAGCAGCTGAGGGGTCAGACGTCAGACAGGCTGGAGACAGTTATCCTGGACGTCACCCAGACAGAGAGCATTGCTGCAGCCACCCAGTGGGTGAAGGAACACGTAGGGGACAGAGGTACCACCCAAATTCTTGTTTGTGGTTGTTTGCTTCTCTCTGTGTGAATAGGAGACTTTGCTTTTGCTACCTGGGTAGATTCCTAAGGTGTGTTTCAGGCTGAATTAATACTTCTTTACCTTACCCACCATGCCAGCCTGAACCCCTTCTCTTTTCCACTCTATCTTCCTCCCACCCCATCTCGATTTGGGAGCTCTGTAGATTTGCTGAGTTTGCGCTGATGAGAATTTGGTCTTTCAGAATTCATATCTATCATCTCCCCTCCCCTTAAAGCCGAAGTTCTCTATTTACTTTAGATTGAGCCCCAGGGTTAGAGATCAGAGATGACTTTCTGATTGAAGGGTGAAGACTGGAGCACCTCCCAGAAGGTTTGAGTGGGAGGTTGGGGGCAATGCTGGAGCCGGGCTCATGTTCTCAGCACTTTACCATGTTCTTCCTGGCGACCCACAGTCACCTACCTATGGAAAGAATTAAGATAAGCCCCATTTTCAGATGAGGTCACTGACCTTTCAGAACTTGCTTTCCAAAATACCAAACCCACTGCTCTTGAATTGATTCCAACTCACAGTGACACTGTAGGACAGAGTAGATCTGTCCCACAGAGTTTCCACAGCTGTGAATCTTTACGGAAGCAGATTGCCACATCTTTCTCCCACGGAGCCACTGGTGTGGTTTGAGCTGCCGACCTTGTGGTTAGCAGCCGAGTGCTTAACCACTGCACCACCAGAGCTCCTTACAACTTGCTTTAGGACTGTCAAATAACTAGTAAGGGGCCACTTCTTCTTCCTACTACAGTATTCTAACTGTCTTATTTTGGGTGGAAAAAAAAAAAGACCGTTAACTTCTTTCATCTGATTGTAATTGTAAAACATGATCATTGTGGAAAACACAGAAAAGTATAAAGATTAAAAAAAAGTCCCATAATTTCACCACCCACAGATAACTCCTGTTAATGTTGTGATATTTATGGGATTCTATTTTGCACATAGTTTGTATCTTTTCACTTAAAAAATGATGAGCAGTTTTACAACAAAATGAAAATTTCTTCAGAAACTTAATAGTCAATGACTTAGAATATCCTATTGCTATGAGTCAGAATTGACTTGATGACTGACAACTCTACCCCCACACTTGTTGCCAGCCAGTCAGTTCTGACTCCTGACACCCCCATGTGTTACAGAGTAGAACTGCTCCCTAAGATTTTCTTGGCTGTCATCTTTTTACTATAGCATCGTTTATTTAAACAATACCTTATGGTTTGGTATTGAAAATGCTTCCTACATTATATCGTCATAAATGTCTTCTTAAGTAAATCTCTAATCTCTATAAACACGTATATTGATTGGAGTCTTAGAAATAAAATATCTGGGCCAAAGCATTTGCATTTCTTTAAAGACAGGGCATGTTTCTGAGCAGGAGAGGGACTCATTTCCAATACTGCCAGAGTCAGCAGCCACCACTCCTGCCCTAACTCAGCCAAACTCCCCTCTTGCTGCTCTGAGGTTGGTGGATTGGTAACTCTGTTTACTCAGAGTCCTGGGGGTTGCGTCTTTTCTTCCCATGCATTTCCAGAGAGGTTATTTGAAAGCTGGATGGGCTGAGGACCAAGGGAGATGGGGAGAGGGTGACCATCTCTGTGGGAGGGAAGAGAGGGTGACATTTTCTGGGGCAGAGAGTGGAGTCTGGGCACTGGGATGTGGGGTAAGCGCGGCTGGCCTCCTCCTCAAGCCTACCCTTGAACTTCCCAGTGTGGAGGGCAAACTTGGCATCCTGCATGGATGTTGCTCAATATTGACACAAGTGGCTTCAAGACCAGTCCTCTGATGTGAAATGCAGGACTGTTCTCCAGCTTCCCCTCAAACTGGCATTTCAGGTCTATCTTTTCCGACCAAGCTATGCACAGATATTAGCTATTTTTTCTCTTATTTTTCTCTTATTCTTTCCCTTCCTCATTCTTGCTCTCTTCTTGTTTCTCCAACAGATAGTTGTTGAGCACTCACTACATAAGGTGTCCATTAAAACCCGAAAATGTAGGTGAATGTATCTATATATATAAAGTCATTAATGTGTAAAAAGCCAAAACATTATTATCTGAGTTTCTAGACTAATGGACACACTATATTGCTTTAATATCAGCTCACTATCTACCAGGCACTGGACTGGGCCATGAAGAATGAAAGGAAAAGGAAGACATAGTTACTGTCCTCCAACAGCTTACAGGATCTGCAAACCCCACACCCTGCAGATACCATGTGGTGATTTATTCTAACCTACTCCCCCATCCAACGTCTATTGCAATCTTTTCACTCAATTGGAATGTGAATTTGGACCATAACTGTTTACATACTGGACATGCTCACAGTGTCTCTTCTGTAATTTCCCACTGTATCCAGGTCTCTGGGGCCTAGTGAATAACGCTGGCATCTCCGTGCCCTCGGCACTCAATGAGTGGCTGACCAAACAGGACTTTGTGAATATACTGGACGTGAACCTGCTGGGGGTGATCGAGGTGACCCTGAACCTGCTGTCCCTAGTGAGGAAGGCGAGAGGCCGTGTGGTCAATGTCTCCAGTGTCTTTGGCCGGGTGTCCCTCTGTGGTGGGGGCTACTGCATCTCCAAGTACGGTGTAGAGGCCTTTTCAGACTCTCTCAGGTATGGACTGGGACTAAGGCGCCTCCCCAGCTCTCCTACTTCTGTTCTTCTGCAGGAGCCTTTTCCTGGGGATTCATTTATTCACAGCCTTAGACCCCTCCTTGGAAAACTCTCTCTTGCTTTGTGGTCTTTCCTCTCTCTGAATTGGGTGACCATTCATTGGAAACCACCTTTCAATGTTCTGGGTGGAAGCAGGGACCCAGGCCGGTAGAGTTTAGTGAAACATACCCCTGCCCTGGAGTAGGGCTCGCAGCTGGGAATTGTCCGAGGCAGAATTGGAATAGGGGTACTTTGGCTCCTGAGCACATGTGCATATCCATTGTGATATTCTGTATCAGGGAACAATGGAGGTGGGGCATTCATTTGACTCCATTCAGTAGATATTTAGTGGGCACATGTGTGAGTCCTAGGACAACAAGATCTGGGTCGTGACCTACAAACTCTCACAGCTGAGAGCAGGACAAGAGATCCCAAAACATTGCTGTTTTCTCTTGTAATGCTTGGGACCAAGTTAGCTTGGAAGCCCCCTGTTGAGGGGAGGGTCCGGAGCTGGGGTCTGAGCTGAGACTGAAGAACAAGGAGTCAGCCTGGCTACTGGGCACAGAAGGGCTTCCTGGCTGAGGGCCTCACAGCAGCAGAGGCCTAGGCTCAGGATAAGCATGCTGCCCGTACTGCGGGGCCTCCAGGGAGGAAAGACAAGGCCAGGCCTGGCCAAGTAGCTGGGGAGGTGGGCAGAGGTGGTCTTGATGAGGGACTTTGGGCCCTAGAGAGCCACTGGCACTTCGTGCTGTTGGCAGTAGAAGCCCATGGAAGGGAATTAATCAGGGCAGCTACTTGGTCAAATCAGCCTCCGGCTGCTGTGGTGAGGTTGGCTCTGAGTGTGGGGAGGTAGTCTGAAGGCAGAGAGAGACTCCTTAGAAGACAGGTGCAGGAGCTTAGCTAAGAGACTACCAGGGGTTTACTAGGGCAGGTGAAGGCAGGAAACGGACAGAAGAGTATGCAGGACATAAAACCAGCAAGGTTTAGTGATGATTGGAGGCAGGGAAAATAGGCAATAGCATGTCAGCTTAATATTATCGGTCAGAACAAGGCCAGGGGCCGACGGCGGAACAGACCATCAACTGCTCATATGCAAGTTCAAGTTGAAGCTGAAGAAAATTAAAAGAAGTCCATGAGAGCCAAAATTATGACCTTGACTATATTCCACCTGAATCTGGAGACTGTCATGGATTGGATTATGTCCCCCAAAAAATATGTGTATCAATTTGGCCAGACCATCGTTCCCAGTATTGTGTGACTGTCCACGATTTTTGTCATCTGATGTGATTTTCCTGTGTGTTGTAAATCATATCTCTATGATGTTACTGAGATGGGATTAGTGGCAATTGTGTTAATGAGGCAGAACTCAATCTACAAGATTAGATTGTGTCATAAGCCAATCTCTTTTGAGGTACAAAAGAGAGAAGCGAGCAAAGAGACATGAGGACCTCATACCACCAAGAGACAAGAGCCAGGAGAACAGAGTATCCTTTGGACCCAGGGTCCCTGCACTGAGAAGATCCTTGACCAGGGAAGATTGATGACGAGGGCCCTCCCCCAGAGCAAAAAGAGAAAGAAAGCCTTCCCCTGGAGCTGACACCCTGAATTCAGACTTCTAGCCTCCAAACTGTGAGACAATAAATTTCTCTTTGTTAAAACCATCCACTTGTGGTATTTCTGTGATAAAAGCAATAGATGACTAAGACAGAGACCATCTCAAGAATAGATTTGATGCATTGAACACTAATGGCTGAAGACCAGAGTTGTGGGAAGACATCAAGGATATCATACATGAAGAAAGCAAAAGCTCATTAAAAAGACAGAAAAGAAAGAAAGGACCAAAATAGATGTCAGAAGAGACTCTGAAACTTACTCTTGAATGTAGAGTAGCTAAAGTGAATGGAAGAAATGATGAAGTAAAAGAGCTAAACAGAAGACTTCAAAGGGCGGCTGGAGAAGACAAAGTAAAATATTATAATGAAATGTGCAAAGACCTAGAGTTAGAAAACCAGAAGACAAGAACATGCTTAGCATTTCTCAAGCTGAAAGAATTGAAATAAAAACTCAAACCTTGAGTGACAATTTTGAAGAATTCTATGGGCAAAATATTGAACAACACAGGAAGCATCAAAAGAAGATGGAAGGAATACACAGAGTCACTGTACCAAAAATAATTGGTGGACATTCAACCATTTCAGGAGGTAGCATTAGATCAAGAACCAATGATACTGAAAGAAGTCCAAGCTGCACTGGAGGCTTTGGTGAAAAACAAGGCTCTAGAAATTGACGGAATACCAAACTGAGATGTTTCAACAAACGGATGCAGCACTGGAGGTGCTGTCTCTTCTATGCCAAGAAATTTGGAAGACAGCTACATGACAACTGACTGGAAGAGATCCATATTTGTGTCTATTCAAAAGAAAGGTGATCCAACAGAATGCTGAAGTTATCAGACAATATCATTAATATCACATGCAAGTAAAATTTTGCTGAAGATCATTCAAAAGCAGTTACAGCAGTACATGGGCAGGGAACTTCAAGAAATTCAAGCCGGATTCACAAGAGGATGTGAAACAAGGGATATCATTGCTGATGTCAGATGTATCTTTACTGAAAGTGGAGAATACCAGAAAGATACCTGTGTTTTATTGACTATGCAAAGGCATTCGACTTTGTGGCTCATGACAAATTATAGCTAACATTGAGAAGAGCGGGAATTCCAGAACACTTAATTGCACTCATGCAGAAACTATACATAGACCAAGAGGCAGTCGTTTGAACAGAGCAAGGAGATACTTCATGGTTTATAGTCAAGAGACGTGTGTGCCACAGTTGTATCCTTTCACCATACTTATTCAATCTGTATGCCAAGCAAATAATGTGAGAAGCTGGACTATAAGAAGAGGAACACAGCATCAGGATTGGAGGAAGACTCACTGAGAACCTGCAATATGCAGATGACACATCCTTGCTTGCTGAAAGTGAAGAGGACTTAAAGCACTTACTGATGAAGAACAAAGACCACAACCTTCAGTATGGATTACACTTCAACATAAAGAAAATAAAAATCCTCACAACTGGATCAACAAGTAACATCATGATAAATGGAGAAGAGATTGAAGTTGTCAAGGATTTCATTTTACTTGGATCCACAATCAACAGCCATGGAAGCAGCAGTCAGGAAATCAAACGACATATTGCATTGGGCAAATCTGCTGCAAAAGACTTCTTTAAAGTGTTAAAAGGCAAGGATGTAACTTTAGAGACTAAGATGCACCTGACCTAACCCATGATGTTTCAATAGTCTCATATGCGTGTGAAAGCTGGACAATGAATAAGAAGACCAAAGAAGAATTGATGTCTTTGAATTATGATGTTGCCAAGGAATACTGACTATATCATGGACTGCCAAAAGAATGAACAAGTCCGTCTTGGAAGAAATAGAGCCAGAGTGCTCCTTGGAAGCGAGGATGGTGAAACTTCATCCTATGTACTTTGGACATGATGTCAGGAGGGACCAGTCCCTAGAGAAGGACATCATGTTTGGTAAAGTAGAGGGTCAGCAAAAAAGAGGAAGACCCTCAATGAGATGGATTGACACGGTGGCTGCAACAATGGGCTCAAGCATAACAACAATCATGAGGATGGCACAGGACCGGGCAGTGTTTCATTCTGTTGTACAAAAAGTCGCTATGAGTTGGAACTGACTTGACGGCAACTAACAACAAGCATGTCAGTGGTGCCTTGCTCCAGAATAAGTAGGATTTACAGCTAATGAATGCATAATATAAAATTATTTTAAAAATTATTTAACCTTATACAGAGGCAATGCCATGGTCATTATTACTCTCCCACTGGCTGCTGCCCTTTGCAACTCCTCAAGTTGCAGCCTATTCCACCCCAGTCCTCGCTTGTCTTTTTTTTTTTTTTTCCTCCAGGGGCCCTTGAAATCCTTTCCTCTGTGTCTGTCTGCTTTGCAGGAGAGAGCTCTCCTCCTTTGGGGTGAAGGTGGCTATTATTGAGCCTGGTTTCTTCAAGACTGGAATTAACAAAACAGAGACACTTTTACTGAAGTTGCAGGAGCGGTGGGACCAGGCCAGCCTGGATGTCAAGGAGGCCTATGGCAAGAAGTTCCTGGATTCCTGTGAGTGGGCTGTGGACAATGCGGAGAGATGCAATTCCTTGTCTGAAAGACCTGGGCCGATCACTAATTGCTCCATTAGTGTCAGGGTTAGTCTTCCTGGATCTGCCTCCACCACAGAGTGGGGACGGTCAGCCCTGTTCCCATAGTCCTCTATGATCAATTGGTAACCCACACAAAGGACCCAGGCTTACTAGACCTGGGACCATTTTCTGAACCCCCTTATTATTTTGAGGAGGTAACTGAAGCCAGAGAGGGAAGACACCCTTGGACTCATAGCAAGCTGGTGTTAGAAACAGCTGGTTTTCACATCCTTAGACTCCTATTGTTAGCAGAGACCTTCATTCATGCCATCCAGGTATTCTCAGGATGAGACCCAGACTGCTTAGTGTGGAACAACTGCTCTAGGGAAGGGTTGGGCCAGGGCAACCTGGTTGCAGTAATTTGGGGTGATGGCTCTGGGGCTGTAGGAATTTTCAGGAACTTTTCTCCCAAAGTTGGTCCCAGGGTGGAGGGTTAGGAAGTGGGAGTATAATCTGGGTCTTTTCTCATTCTGGACAGACATGAAAATGATTGAAACCATGGGAAAAATCTACTCATCTAATCTGTCCTTGGTGACGGACTGCATGGAACACGCATTGACTGCCTGCCACCCCCGGACCCGGTACTCGCCTGGCTGGGATGCCAAGCTCTTCTACCTTCCCATGAGCTACATGCCCACTGCCCTGGTGGATGCTGTGGACTACTACTTGCTCCTTCCAAGGCCTGAACAGGCCCGGTGAAGACAGGACTTGAGTGCATGCATGGTGGAGTGGATTGGGGTGCTGTGTGAGGGGGGATGGGTTTAGGGATGAAAATAGGGTAGAGGGAGGGAGCTCCCAATTCAGCTAGGGCACCCGCTCAGCCCCACTTACCCCTGTCTCATTTCTCAGGACTTTAGGATATTAGGAGGAAAGAACCAAGATTTGCAGCTTAGGAACAGGGACACAATAGCACTTATTGGTGCCCTGTTGTCTTTGGTGGCCACTGAAATATCTGAGCTTCGTGGGCCCCCCTATCATCCTGAGGAATCCACACTCTGGGGTGAGTGTGAGCAGAGGGGAAGAGGCACATCCCCCATCTGCTCTGCCTCCTGTCTATCTTCTCAAATTCTGCAATGGCAGGTGACCTGTCTATACCATACTACAAGGTGGAAATGGCCTGGAGGAGGTGATGGCATCCCTACTCTGAAGATACCTTTGGGCAAGAGGGGCTGGGGAGGGTGACCACCTGCCTGTCCCCCTCAGGTCCCACCTGAGCAGGGAAGCCTGTCACCTGACAGTGGGAGGCTCTCCCAGCCCTGGGAGGAGAAGCCCTCTATTGGAATCCTGAAGCTCCCTCCTTCTCCCCTGCAAGTGTGTACGCTGCATTTTCTGATGTTGGGTGTTTGGGTCCAGGGGAGCACTGCTTGGCCAGCCATCAGCACAGCAGTCCTGGAGGTGCTGGTTAGGCCCAGGCCTTGGTAGGGGCAGCACTGAGCCATCCTTCTCCAGCCCAGCCAACCCCTGGGCCTCACCCGGCTCCTCCAGAACTGGAAGAACCTCTGCCGCTGGGAATACCTACCTGCTCAACTTTTGAGTGGCATTCTCTGCCTTCTGTCTACCAAGCCCAGTCCATTCACCCACCCTGGAGGCAGACAGGCTGGGAGATGCCTCCCAATCCAGCTCTGGAGGTACAGGGCCAGGGACAGGGTTGAAGTAGGAGAGGTTTGCCTTCCACCACTTCTGACTTCCATCTATTGGATTCAGGTCTGTTTTTCAGGGCTGGGTCCTTGATCTAACCCCCCTTCCTGTCACCCTTGGTACAGAATGCCAGTCCCTGCTGTTCTCTTCCAAGGTGACACCTCCTTCAACCGATTTTGGGACGGGCCTGTCTTTGTGACAGTAGTGTGCAGAGACACATTTGTTGGGTCTCTCACTACGGCATCTTTGGGGCCCTGATTCAATGATCTCTAGTCAGGGAGATGTCGGAGATTGGAATTCTGGAATCTGTAAGGTGATCTGGCAACCAGGTTTACACTGTGTTTCCTGAGGATGATGTTGAAATTTGTTCCAGGTAACCAGACCAGCCGCAGCATCAATCTCTCTCTGCACACTATGGAATCCTGGGCACAGCACCTCACTACCATACCTCTTTCCCTCATTTTCTTTGCTTTTCTGGATGACCCTTTATCTCTGACAATTTCTTTCCTCTTTCTCCTGGCCTGTCTCCTGATACTGAGTGCTTCCTAAAGTTCTTGCCTTATCTCTCTGTTCTTCTCACATCTCATCCCCTCTCAGAGCCTAGGACTCTGCCCTACCTCCTGCCTCCAGCTGCTTGGGGAACTTGAGGCCTGTATGTGCCATATGAATGGTCCTCAGGCTCACTAAGGATCGTGTCAAAATGCTCTGGGCCCCTGCTTCCCCTCCTTGTCACCAGTGTGTCTTCTCTCCTACTTCTCCCATCAAGGCTTCCTACTTCTCCTTGCTATTGACCTTGTACCTTAAAATCACTTTACCACCACCCCCCCCCACCAATTTTTATATACTTTCCAGGTCATCAGATTTTCTTAAACGAATGAAATTCATGTCTTCAGCCTACTTAATTTTTCTTAACCATAGAATGATTATTGTATCTACCTGTTTGGGTGTCAGAGGAAATCAATAGGCAAGAGAAAATAGCTGTTCATGAAGATGCATTATTATGTTTTTCTCAATGTGTAAGAGATCTCTTTCCCCTAAAGAAATGCCCATTAGCCATTAGAGAAATGCAAATCAAAACTACAATGAGATACCATCTCACCCCAACAAGGCTAGCATTAATCCAAAAAACAGAAAATAATAAATGTTGGAGAGGTTGTGGAGAGACTGGAACACTTATACACTGTTGGTGGGAATGTAAAATGGTACAACCACTTTGGAAATTGATTTGGCACCTCCTTAAAAAGCTAGAAAGAGAAAGACCATACGATCCAGCAATCCCACTATTTGAAATAGATCTTGGAGAAATAAGAGCTGTCACACAAATAGATATATGCACACCAATGTTCATTGCAGCACTGTTCACGATAGCAAAAAGATGGAAACAACCTAGGTGCCCATCAATGGGCGAATGGATAAACAAATTATGATATATTCACACCATGGAATACTACCTAATGGTAAAGAACAATGATGAATCTGTGAAGCATCTTATTACATGGAGGAATCTTGAAGGCATTATGCTGAATGAATTTAGTCAGTCACAAAAGGACAAATATTCTATAAGACCACTATTATAAGAACTCAAGAAAATGTTTAAACACAGAAGAAAACATTGTTTGATGGTTATGAGTGGGGAGGGAGGGAGAGGGTATTTACTAACTAGATAGTAGATAAGAATTATCTTAGATGAAGGGAAGGACAGCACACACTACAGAGGAAGTTAGCACAACTGGACTAAACCGAAGCTAAGAAATTTCCTGAATGCAAACAAACACTCTGAGGGACAGAGTAGCAGACGCAGAGGTCTGGAGACCATGCTTTCAGGGGACATCTAGGTCAATTGGCATAACAAACTTTATTAAGAAAATATTCTGCATCCTACTTTGGTGAGTGGCATTTGGGGTCTTAAAAGCTAGTGAGTGGCCATCTAAGATGCATCACTTTGTCCCAACCCACCTGAAGTAAAGGAAAATGAAGAACACCAAAGACACAAGAAAAGCATTAGCCCAAGAGACAGAAAGGGCCACATAAACCAGAGACTGCATCAGCCTGAGACCAGAAGAACTAGATGGTGCCTGGCTACCACCAATGACCGCCCTGACAGGGAACACAGCAGACAGTCCCTGAAGGAGCAGGAGAAAAGCGGGGTGCAGAACTCAGATTCTAGTAAAAAGACCAGACTTAATGGTCTGAGACTGGAGGAACCCCAGAAAGCATGGCCTCTGGACTCTCTGTCAACCCGGAACTAAAACCATTCCCAAGGCCAACTCTTCAGACAAACGTTTGACTGGACTATGGGACATAAAATGATACTCGTGAAGCGTGTGCTTCTTAGCTCAAGTAGATATGTGAGACTAAATGGATAGCTCCTGTCCAAAGGTGAAATGAGAAGGCAAAGAGGGTCAGGAGCTGGTTGAATGGACATGGGAAATCAGGGGTGGAAAGGAGGAGTGTGCTGTCACAGTATAGGGAGAGCAATTAGGGTCATGTAACAATGTATGTATAAATTTTTGTATGAGAGACTAACTTGAATGGTATATTTTCACTTAAAGTACAACAATAAAATAAAATAAAATAAAAAATATGGAATAAATGCCCAAAGGCCTCTATTCCACTTTTATTTGAATATAATATTTGAGCCCATTGTCCAGAAGCACTGATATTTCCCAATTTAATCTAAAGTTATAATAGAAAAAGCAACGAACCTGTATTTGGCATTTTAATTTCTCACTCTTAATATCAAGATTCACCGCCTCCCATCATCAATATTTATTGAGCATTTACAATCTGCTAGGCACAAAGGAACACACAGAAATCATTGTCCCTACTCTTGAGGAATTTACATGCTAAAAGGAAAAAAATAAACCTTTCCTAAATTGATAGTTTGGTGTTTATTGGAAGGTACTGAGGAAATATCCTGAAGGGTGAGCTCTTGTTATAATTTAGACCTTCCAGAATTTAGAGAATAGAGGAAGAGAGAGGTTTTCAAGGCATACATTGAAAGATCATTCAGGATAGGTAGGTGAGGTAGGCAGAATGATGGCCCCACCAAAGATGTCTATGCCCTAGTCCCTAGAGGTTGTGAATATGTTATCTTACATGGCAAAGGAGAATTATTGTGGCAGATGGAATTAAGATTGCTCATTGTCTTAGTTATCTAGTGCTGCTATAACAGAAATACCACAAGTGGATAGCTTCAACAAACAGAAGTTTATTTCTTACAGTCTAGTAGGGTAGAAGTCCAAATTCAGAGCGTCAACTCCAGGGGAAGGCTTTCTCTCTCTGTTGGCTCTAGGTAAAGATCCTTGTCATCAATCTTCTCTGGTCAAGGAGCTTCTCGGCACAGGGACCCCAGGTCCAAAGGACATGCTATTCTCCTGGCTCTTGTTTCTTGGTGGTATGAGGTGCCCTTGTCTCTCTGCTTTCTTCTCTCTTTTATATCTCAAAAGAGATTGGCTTAAGACACAACATAATCTTGTAGATTGAGTCCTGCCTCATTAATGTAACTGCTGCTAATGCCACCTCATTAACATCATAGAGGTAGGATTTACAACACATAGGAAAATCACATGAGATGACAAAATGGTGGACAATCACATAATACTGAGAATCATGGCCTAGTCAAGTTGATAGACATCTTCAGGGGACACAGTTCAATCCATGACACTCATCATTTCACTTTAAGGCAGGGAGATTCTCCTGAATTACCCACGTGAGCACAGTGTAATCACTAGAGACCCTATAAGCGAAAGAGGGCAACAGAAGAGGGGTCAGAGTGAAGCAATGTGAGAAGGTTCAACTCTCTGTTACCACTTTGAAAATGGAGAAAGGGACCATGAACCAAGGAAGAAGTGTAGACTCTAGAAGCTGGAAAAGTCATGGAAATGGATTCTCCCTAGACCCTCCAGAACCTCCAGAAAGCAGCCCTGCTGACACCTTGATTTTAGCCTAGTAATACCTCTGTCAGACATCTACAGAAGTCAAAGACAATAAAGGTAAGTACCATGGTTACCTTGCCTATTGGATAATCTGCCCCTGGTAACAGTTTATTACAGGGAAAT